TCATAATTGCTGTAAGGAAAATGATAACATAAGTAGCGGATTAAGTAAACCATTGTGAACACTTGCTAGCACAAAAAAACAATAGGAACTAACCTTGAGATGCAGGACAACATAAGACAGTGTATCACGATTGGACGCGGGTAAACAATCCATTACATCCACGACCTGTTGGACGGCGCCTTTGGGGTCATCTTGCATTCGTTCACTTGCAGCCGCCAAAACAGGACGCTGTTCAAAGGTAACCAAAGGTTCCGACAGATTTCGCAGAAACAATTTCAGACAACCACATACTACATGAATGTCCTCGATAAGCGCGAGGCCCGGAGTCATTTTGCTGCGGAAGAATTTGTCATACAGCTCTGAAAAATAGAAATCAATGAGACAATGTCGGACTCAGATTAGTTGCGAAAAACGAGTGGGATAACCAAAACGGAAGGGGATTCTGATACCAAATCAAACCGTAAATAACAAGTCGATGTATGATTATTTACCCTCTACTACCATACATAACTGTCCCTTAGCTGGTCAACAGGCATTGGCCAAACTCGTACATGATTCTCATTTTGGAAATGCCTTTCAGTTTCCAGCTTCACACATGTGTATCGATAGCTGTAGAAACGATTCGTTCAACTTTGGCAATTTCATCTGGCAGTGTAGTGCAGTAAATGTCATTTAATGTCATTTATAATCAAACTACTCAAATACTTATGGTCAAATTGCAAACGCTGAAACATTCGAATTTATTAGAGAATTTACAATGGTTATGGATGAAAAGCAGTTATTCCGAACTCCCACTGCAATGTCCTTAGTTCTTGTGTATCAACCTTTGAACACGAGTGACCTTGAGTGTCGCGGTAAAATTTGTGGCAGTTCGAAAGCTTCAGTTCAGAATCAAAATAATATTTTATGCGAAGCAGAATAAAGTTCATTCTATCCTGTTTCATGAAGGTGTTTATTCTGATTAGAACACGTACTTTAAATGCCTTTTTAATACGGTGCAAAGTACATAATTCGATCAATGAGAATTTTCTAGCCGCAATAAATTGATAAATTATATGACAATAAACCCCTCAAAACATAGTCCGAAAAACATAAACGACCTCCAGAAGTTGCCTCGCCGAATGAGCGTTTTGTAGTGTTACCGTACCCAAACCGGATAAAACATCCAAGAGATTTTGGCATATAGATGAAGCCGAAAGGCAACTTATTAGAGTGGTGCAGTAATCCGAAAAACTCAGCTCACGACTTGCGCAGATGCTTTGACGTGAATACAGGATGCAATTTTCTCATGTCATTGTTCGGAAAATGATGGCTTAATTCAGACTAAAGCTTAGCTTATCTAGTATGAACGTGTTATTAAACGTCCAACCACATACAGATTTTACCAACAATCAAAACGCGTCTATCCGTTCGGCTTGGAGTGTATCTCACTGGTGATTGACGAGCAATTCAGCAGGCGGAAAGATGTGTTGACGCATTTTTCTCAGTGGATTTGGTTCCACCTCTCTAAAGAAGTGAACATTCATCCCACCTAATGCGTTGGATGGGAAGCAAATAAATACTGAGCACTCCGTTATTGGACCCTCGTACGTGTGACTCCGGATGGATAGAAATTTGTTGCACTGATGAGGCAGGTTTTCGATAACTCTCAATCTCGGCATGCATTTGCAAAATTTATATTTTTCCCAGATAAAAATTAGTACATCCCACTCGAGGTAGGCCGCAGAAAAGCTTTAGACCTCATTATGTTTTTACATTTTTCCAGTTTCTGGATGGTTCCTTTGTCGGCAGTATTCAATTACCGCCCAATAGATGACATTTGAATGTAATCGAAAACAGGTTGAGTTAGCTACGACAGCGTTCGTCAGTGGCAAAGGTGCAGTACGTATTAGAGAAAAATGGCAGAAGCTGCTCGACAGTCAAATTGGTCGACTAAATACAAAGACGCCTGTTTCCAGTGCTCAAAAACAGAGAAGAGTAAATAGAACATTGCTTTTCGAAAGTATAATACCGGTATCAAGCCCAGGAGTTGCTTTTATAAATCAACCCTGATGATGGTTTATCACTGAGGCCATCTGGCAACATTATATTTAGTCCCATGACTGAGGCTCGAAACATGCGTTGAGGGGAACAAATCTGTTGATAGTCAGGTTATTGTACCAGTCTGGTCAACACCTGCTTGTGTGCTGTTTTTCTATAGCCTTTTGGTTACTTCTTTTATTCCGTAGACTAATGAGCTTATTGATCAAGCGGTTTTGTGGAGTTTTGATGGAGCTTTCTGCACCTGATTAATACGTTTCTGAATCGCCTATTGTTCTTCCCAGCTTCTCTTAGAACTTTGCTGTGTCCGGTAACACAGTTACGGTATTTTGCTTTCCGCATAGTGCTTTGAACTCGTGGTGATAGCTGAGATATCTCGAACGTGCAGTGCTGGCAGATTTTTGGTCGGAGTTCTGTCACTTTTGTTTAGTCAACGGACACTGGCATACCACGACTTCAACCGAAAAGAAAAAATAGGTGGTTTTTGGGTTTGCGCAAATAATTTTTAGTCCTTTAATTGTTAAGTGCGGAATCTGAGCAATTATGGATTGGATTAGCATGTTTGTGTTTGTTCGGGTCGCAGCGTTGGTCGAATGCCATTCTCATTTCGTTTTATTCGATCAACGTTTGAGTTCATGGTGCATGCGTTCGTGTCAATCATTTGATCGCTTTCTGATGGCAAGCGAGAGTTGCGTTTTACGTTTTCATGAAAGGTGTTACGACGTAGCCAGAAAAAAACTGTTTGCGCACGGCAAGGCGATTGAGATATCTTCCCCGCAAGTTTACCCAAAAAAGTAGGTAACAGTCGATTTCACATATCAACCTAACAGACTGGAAGCATGCTCCTGTGGAGCCAGCTATATAGGTCGTACCAGTCGGCAGTTGACTAAACGGATTCAAGAGCATCACCCGGCCTGGCTGAGAAGAGGACAACCAAAGGTCATTCGTAGCTCGATTGTTGAACATCTTATCAACACGGGGCATACGGTAGATGTTGAAAGGTCATTAAAGGTCATTCACAGAACCCCGATTAATCTGACCAAACAATTGCGGCAGATTATGCTTTGCACAGCCGAGGCGGTAGTGATTCGTATCCAACACCCCGAACTGTGCAAATAAAAACGGATCGTTCACGTATTGAGTTTGCCATGGCCCGACAGTATGACGTAATTGATCTTTGTTCAGAAAATCAAACGATGACTGAATGACCGTGTTGCGTAATCTGCTTAGACAAGTGATTACAACCCTGTAACCCCCCTCCCCCACACCGGTTTATTTTGTAAATCATGACTTTTGTTGCCACCTTGTGATTATATATTAATGTAGAAGCTTGAGAATGAGTAATCGAAAAGAATTCTTCGCTTTACTGGTCTTTTCAATGATCTATGATGGTTTGCCAATTTGTGTTCTCAGTATGAGCTCTGTGGGACCTTTTAAACATCTATGAGGATATTTCAAGAAACTCGCTGAACTCATTTGGTTGAGCCCAAACTCTGATTTATAGTGCTGGCAGGTGATTTTACCGCGCAGGTTGGAAAACTGAGCTCATCCGAAGCCTGTCTAGGAGGGCACTTCGCCCTCCTCGCCCAGCGAACAGAAAACGGTAATCGGTTACTTCAGTTCTGCGCGGATCACCGGCTGTCCTCATCTAGCACCAACTTTCGACACAGCTCTCGTTGAACGGCTACATGGTGCTCTAGTTCAACGGGAACGTTGACCCAAATTGGCCACATAGTTATAAGCTACTGTTGGTGTGGTTCAGTACAGAACTGCGGATCCTATTGGACTACCTGCGTTGAGTCGGACCTCGCACTAGTCATGTTACGCTTCACTCTTCCATTCATTGGTCATCGGCAGAAATCGCCCCCTCAGCTCGTCATCGTCTGCGCGATCCAGCTGTCAGCGCATGTTATGAGGAGAAGCTGGGACAGAAGATAAGAGAATTGCCATATGGTGGAGTAGACCAACAGTGGAATCATATTAGATTGGCGATGCACTTTGCTTGTGGGACTGAGCCGGACGTTCGCCGAAGGCACTGGATCTCTCAGGAGTCAGTAATCCTGATGGATCAAAAGCGTAAGATCTCAATCTGCCAGGATCAGCTTNTCAGCTTAAGGACCGGTGTCGCCCGCAAGGTCAACTCAGAACTAGCCATAAGAAAGATCGTGAAGATTGGTGGGCCGAAATAGCTAGTGAAATGGAGGTAGCTTCTGCACCGGGAAATAGTCAAAGACTGTTCCAACTGATACGCAGCACCGGAGGTCGTCGCACACCAGTCAGTGAGACCATTTGCGATAAAATTGGACAGAGGATCCGCAATAAAGAACGACTTGATCGCTGGGCAGAGTATTTTCGTGAACAGTTCAATGGGCCCAGTGCTAAAGTGGCCATTCAAGCACTTGTGGCGGAAACTCCATGGATGGTAACATGCGAGCCCCCATCAGGAACANTTAAAGGAAGGGAAGGCTGCGGGATCTGATGGGCTTCACCCTATTATTTTCAAGGTGGGCGGTGATTCTCTTGTCGACTCGATTACCAGCTTACATCGCAGCATTCGGACGGAGGAGCGTATCCCTTTGTCCTGGGGTGAATCGTTGATCGTCCCGATCTTCAAGAAGGGATCACTCAACGACTGCGCTATATAAATATAACACCAGTCTATACGACTGCGCTAACCAACGTGGGATTAGTTTAGTTCCCATTATCACAAAAATGTTGATACCTGTGACACTTCGCCGTCTGACACCCTTAAGGCAGAGGAATATCCACGAACAACAAGCTGGATTCCGACCAGGTCGAAGATGCAACAAACAAATCTTTCCTCTGCGTCAGGTCCTCGAATCGCGTCACACATCGTCGCCCAACAACCGCAGTGTTCTTTGAACTAAAAAGAGCCTTCGATTCAGTTGATTGTGAAGCTCTTTTGGGATCACTGCTCCGCAAACGACTGCAGCGGAAGTATGTAAACCCATTGCGGTCGCTGTACGTGCATACTTTTAGTACCGAGGCTCTACGGCCGGGTAAGTAAATCGTTCGAAACCAGGAGCGGTGTCCGTCAATGGTGCCCTATTTCGCCATTCCTGGTCAATTTCGTCGTAGATGAAGTACTGGAGAACGCATTTAGTGGTCTCCAAAACGTAGGGATTGATTGGGCAGGGAGGAGAGAAGCTGTGCGATTTAGAGTACACTGGTGACATCGTATGCCTGTTCGAATCTATGGAGGGTACGCATTGCGCTCGTGACAGACCAGCAAGTTCTGTATCTCCCCCTCTCGATATGCGCTTCGCACC